TAATAGAAAATAATTATAATAATATTTTTTTTAATAAAACCTTTATTATAGTAAATAAATAAAAAATAGTTTAATATTTGAAAATTATAAAAAAATATAATAAGGAATATATTTAAATACTATTAATCAATTATCTTCAGCAACTAGGCGCATCTGGAGATGCTCTGTTCGTCTGGGGTGTTTACGCTTCGAGAAGGTGACAGGAAGGCTGGTCACGGCAGATAAACAGCCATTAGATCTGCTAGGGGACATGATATCTGACAGGCGCAACAAGCAAGCAGGCCAGCATGTCGGAGAGAGAGAGGGAGGGAGCGGGGGCCAGAGTTGACATTTCCGGCCTGTGAGGCAAGCCTCCAAGCCATTCAAGGGTTGCACACCTCGTTAAGTTGCTAAAGCCCATGACTCAGGGACAAACTTTTCCACGGTCCAGGTTTCCAAAGAGGATATATTCGAAGTTTATCCGTACAGGCAGGGCCACTCATCATCCGGGGTCAATTGCTTGCGACATGGAAGCCTTTTTCGATTGTTGGGCCGGGACCGATAGTGTTCTGAACTTTTGAAGAGAGGATGACAGTCCCACCCCGGCCTCTCATCTTACTTTGACTGCCGCTGCGACGTGAATGTGGGATGGGATGCAACGGCCCTGTCCGTCCAATGGCCATAGCTCCATGCAGCTGCGCGTTACTACGTAGAAAACGTTGAAGGGTGGGAAGAGAGCGCCAATTTGGCAACAGCTTCAGCAAATGTGAAAGTTTGTTGGTTTCCTTACCTCGACCGGCAGAAACCGAGCGTCGAAAAAGGGATACCATCTCGTCAATCCCACGACATCCGGCACTTCACTGCTACGTGAGCTCGTGTCCTTCAACAGAAAAGAAAAGTGTAAAGTACCCAAGCTTTCGACACGGACCTCACTAGCTTTTGGCCCTACAGAGACGTGCAATGCACCGATCATCCGGCGCGAATACCTACACCTAGAATGCGGCCCGGAGAGCAGATCAACAATGACAAAGTACTTCGTACAGCCCTATCCGTATAGCGATGGAAAAACATGCATTCTTTGGCCCGCCCCTCACCTCCCCCGGGGCCGAGGATGCCGCATGACGACCGAGGTGCAGGGAAAAAAAGCTCGTTTGCTTAGTTTGACGCGCAGCTCCTTTGACACCCGCATCTGCTTGACAACGGATTGATCTAGCGCAGCCGGCTTGGCGTCAAATCAGTTTGTAATCAACTCAAAGATCAGAGAGGGGTAGAGAACTACAAGAAGTGAGAGAGAGATCCACAACCTCACCGGTCACCCAAGTTGAGCAGGTTGGGATATTGATCGCCCGGTGAGGCAGTTGGGCTAGGCCAGATTGCCATGCCATTTGATGCCGTGTGATTCGCTTCTGCGGGCCACGCCGGACGGTGCCGTTGGCCAACTGAGGAGAGGCCTTTCATTGCCAATGTCGCTTGGCTCAACGCCGTTAGAGTTACACGCACGAACCGGCGTGAGCTGCCGGAACCCAACTTAACAGGCCGAGTATCTCGTACAATTCCGACAAGCCAGACCGGATACCAGGGCGAAGTGTGTGCTGGTCGTGTCGGTACCCCATCGTCATGAGTTGCAAACATGCCCGTCATCTCACTTGTGAGTCTCACACTTGCACTCAGACTCATACCTTCAGTAAGTGAGACTTACATGCTTACACTTGCTTGTGCAACAAGCAGACTGGCCCACCCCCTCCATCTCCGGGAATATCTCACACATCGCGCCATGCATGTACCTCAAATGACCGGTGTGAGTGCCGTGCCGATGGTCAAGACATCTTCGACCGCCCTGCACCTAACGCCGCAGGGCTTGCAAGACAACGTCTCTGCGAGCCCCAGAGACAATAAACAACTTTCGCGCAGCGCCCAAAAGGTACGCGCCAATGAGCGGCTCGCCGTGCCTGATGCGCTCTCGCTTCTGCGTCGCAGCGCATTATCCCAGGTGCTTTGAAGTCAGATATATATTATCACAATCATCATCCTCTCATGTACGGTTGCGTTGGATAGTGCCCGACTCCTTTTTTTTCTTGCTTCTGGTCAGCTGAGCTGCGATGCGATGCACGGCATCCCAACTTCCAGCAGCGAGACAGCACTTTGTTCTTGCGGCTTGGTGGCCTTGCGTGCCCAACTTGACCTATGGCGCGGAATCGCCAATGCCCACTTACAGCCCACGACACGAACTTGAACTCACACGTTTCATTGTCGTTGATAGGGGCCGCGCGTGCGCGTGGAGGGACTCGAAACACTTCAGATGACCATCCCCGTCGCGCACCAACTGCCACTAACCCCCACCCTCTCTCTCCCGTCTCCCTTCATGATCCTCCCACGTTCTCCCACGTTGGGCAGCTCGAACTGTTCCCAGTCCCGACCACCAAAGACGCCCACGCTACTGCTTGAGGAAAGCGTGGTGTTTTCTTCGAGCAGTAGCGTGGTGGCTTGCGGGACCCAAAGACCCAAAGGTCCAAAGATGTGCCATGAGCCTACCCGGACTGGGTAGATGGGGGGGGTTCTTTACCGTGATGATATTGATAAACCTCGAGGGTCCCACGTTCTTCCACCCCACGCCGACACCCGTCTGATACCGTGAGAGTCGCTCCGTTGTTCCCTCCCAAGCTGGGGTCCTTGCACTCCCACTCGCTCTACACCTGATTTCTCACCGAGGACCCTACACGGCGCATTGAGTCCTGTTATAACCGGTCAGTCCATAGAGTGGGCGGCATCGGGCCGCAAAAGGGATGGGATGTCTGAGGGCCGTCAGCGTCTCGCCTGCGTGTGTGCCATGATTCCCATCACCACCACCACCACCACCCGCTCAAACGAATCTGCCTGCCGCTTGTTTCCAAGCAACCCAGACCCAAGCGTTTGCCCATGGTTAAACGCACTCTTGTACAGCACAGCAAACCCAAGATTGCCCGATATCACCACCTCTCATCACTGTCATTCGTCTCATTTCCCACCGGTCCCGTAAGCCCGGTCTGCCCTTCTCCCTCTCTGCCCGGCACATGTCGTAATGAAGCGACCAACGAGAGGGCGACAGGCCACTGCACTGCAGCTTCACCGGTCAATCCTCCTTGCGCATACGTGCCTCCCTCCCCTTGCACACACACATGGACGCACACACACACACACACATCCTCACTTCTCCGGTCCCTCCCACACGTTGCAGCACTAAGCACATCAAGCACCAACCCTGTGACGTGTGTGTGTCTGTGTACTTGGTCGAACTAACGGAAAATCCCCCTCCCCACTCGTCCCTGTCAAGCCCTGTCTCGTCTCGCCTTGCCTACAAAGTCCCCCAGTCTAGTCCCGCTCCTCAATCATCCCCTCATAATTAGCATGCTTTTTTCACGAACCATGTAACCCTCGTTGCGTGTACCAAAGCGCTACATTTTGTCCAGTACTAGGTCCTCGGAATATGTGGCCCCTGGCTTGCTCTAGATTCGCTCTGGCCAGGATATGTTTGGCGTGTCATCTCATGTTCAAGGATGTGTTGAATGAGGGAGGGAAAGTCACTGTGTACTTTCCATGGGGCGGAGAATGGAAGGTGTCGGGTATGGATGTATGAATGTGTGTGTGGGTGTATGTGTGTGTCCATGTGAGGTATGTGTGCTAGACGATTGAACGCTGCAGAATGTTCGCTCCTCACACACTTGAACCTTCTCCCGGCCTTCTTACGTATTGTGTAGTGTTTAATCTCAAAGTATCACGAAACCCAATACCCTGGCAGGTACGTGGCCGCAACTTGGACTAATCCAGCGAGCGCATGAACACTCAAGACGCGGGTGTCACTTAAAGGCAGGGTATAATGAGAGGATACACAAACAGGAGTAAGTAAATATCTCCAGTTTTCTCAATTGTTTTTCTGATATGAGCGCTACTACTGCGCTGTCTGTGCCGTGCTGCCAAAGCGCGTCTGTTTAGTGTGAAATGTGTGAAGTGTGACGAGATCTTGGTGGGTATATATGTACAGGAAACAATGTTTGCGCTCTCCCCCCCCAACTGTACCCACTGTCGAATGGATGGGAGGTGTTGAGAGGAACGAGCAAAGCAAGAAAAGACTCAAACCAAGATATGCAAACCCCCGCAAACTACCCCCGCTTGTGATTGCAGACGGACGGCTATAAAAAAAAAAACATGCTTGTTCCCTATCCCAAACTCCAGTATCCTTTCCTTGATTGCCTTGGAGAACATGCCAAAAAGAGAAGAAAAAGAAATAGGATTAAATCATCGCCGGAAGAAAATGGTTCCAGCATCTCCGGTCAAAGACTATTGACTGCTCTCTTATCGCGAAGCTTGTGATGATGAGTGTGAGCGAGTTTGAGTGAGAGTGTGAGTGAGCGTAAGTGTGAGTTTGAGTGTGAGTGTGAGTGGTGGCGGAGGGGTTGAATGGGTGAGATGGGTGAGATGCTCAGATACAAGTCGAGAGCCGAGCCAGACGCGGTCGACGTTCGCTAATGCACGACTGACCGGCCCATGGGCAGACAGGAGGATGAAAAGAGATGGGGAATGCTGTGATGGAGGGTAGACAGACCGGTCTCGTCTCGTCTTTGACCGGGGAGTGCCGCCGCTAGCCCGGTGCCGTGGTCGGTGTAGGCGCCCGAATAAAGTTGAATAGTCCGCGACGCCGTCTCCTCTTTTGCTTCCCACCCCTTGCGGACCCTCCCGTCCAGCATCCATGGGTACCGAACTCCTCTCCGCGTGGTGTTGATCCTCGTGCCCATCAAGCTTTTGCTGTGTGGCGGGTTTGTCCTGTTGCTTTCCCGTCTCCAGGAGTGTGTGTCTTTTTCCTCCTTGCCCTTTCCCCTCCTCCCCGTCCCAAAAAGGAAATTGTTGAAATGCTCGTTTCCGTATCAGCGCCAAAACTTCCGGTCCGCAATGCTCGAATTCGCAAACGCCGTGGTTGAGGTGCAGAGTTGCACCTTGCCCGAGATTTGTTTTCTTTTTTTTCCCCCAAAAGAATCTTCCCCCACCCCTCCCCTCTTGACGTTATTCCTCCTCTTAGAAATGAGCCATTCAAAATGGTGCTTAGCTCACTGTGTTGAGATCGGCATGGGCGAGACCGTCTCAACGCTATGCGTCCGTCCCCCCTCTTACTGCGAGTGTGCATCCATCATCCCTCCACCGGTCCTGTCATAGCCCTGCAGACGGGAATTCAAATTGGAGCCGGCGTCGATTTTCGGTAGAAAGGGTCCGTCCATATGGCACAATGTCGCAAAATACTGCCTTGACGAGGTACAGCTTTGTTCAACTTCTCCGGTTTGGTCATCAGTCCACGTCCGGAGCCAGATAAGCTTGTACCGTGTAATTGTCGTTTCGAAGCAGCCCGCCGTTGCCGTTTGCCTTGACGCATGCTTGACGTGTGGGATAAGTGGCTGTGTTACGCGACGCATCCTCGAGTCGCCAAGTATCAAATGTCGTTGAAGAAAAAAAAAATTGGTCCTGGCGAAATTGGTTCGCACAATTTCTCGCTCTCTCTCTCCCTCACACACACACCCATCCCGTCTCTCTGGAGTTGTGTTTGTCCCGAGAGGCCGGAGGGACAGAGCAAAAGCGGCCTAGGGGGAATGTGAGATGTGATAGACGAGAGACGTGCCGCAGACCGGATCTGTATCCTAGGCGCCGGCGGGCCTTTTTGATCGGAATATTGTCTGAAAAGTGGTGGATGAATAGAGTGGAAAGCATCATCGGTGGGTTCGTTGTGCTTATAGTCTGACTGGCGTGTTATTGCGCTTGATCATGCTCTCCCACACGATCGGTGCTGAAGGCTTGCATTCGCCTGCGATGAGACAATGTTAGTCCCGAGGTGTCTGGGATGGGGGTTGGAGGGGAAGGGAAAAAGGGATTGGGAATAACCGCATCAACCGCCACACGGGTGAAGGGTGCTGCTGTGTCTGTGATCGATGCTTTGGCTTGCTGTGCTCTCTCTCACTCGGGAGAGGGGAGGGCAGGGGGAGCAGGGACACTCAGCAGGCCAAATTTCCTGCCCCTACACCCCCATGCCGGTCCCAATTCCAGGTGCTTGGAGTTTGAGTGGAGTTGGAGGCACATTTCATTTTCCGTGGCAGCAGACAGACACAAAACACGCGCACACCCCTGCCCGGCGTGGTCGAACGGGGGGAGCTTGCTCCAAGAGCAAAGAAGGTTGAGAGGGCCAAGACTGGAGATAGGCGTTGCCGCGGAGAGGAACATACCACAGACTTCATCTCCCCTGTTTTTGGACGCACGTCAGTTATGTTGTCCATGAGCATAGTCATACGGAAAAGACGAGTAAGAAGGGGCTCCGTGTGATCCGTCAGGATCTGCAAGAGGGCGCCCAAGGGGGAAGAAGAAAAAGAAACGACTGGAGACGTACCTGTACTCGAAATGCGTGACACACGGCGGACAGCGTCGTTGCGTGCGAGTGTAGACCGGACACCACCGCGAAACAATCCAGCGGACGTGGCCGCAGTGGAATTCTCTCTGCAAAAACAAACAAAAATGTCAGTCCCGCGGTCCTTGCAAAGAGGGATCCTCTGCCGCAGCGGAACCTGCGTGCTTTCGGACCAGACATACTTGGGTATAGTTGCACATTATTGCTTCTGGGTGTTGTGGTTTTCGTGGGACGTGAGAATCGGAGGTAGATCCGAAAGTACAGAGGGAAAAAAAGCCCCCAGGCGGCGGGTATTAGTCGAAATGGGTGAGTACGGTATAAGCTGGTGGCGGCGGGGATCCGGGTCGCACTGTCAGGGGGGTGGTGGCCAGAAGATACGGGCTTGGTGAGAGAATTTGCAACACGTTAAGTAAGTAGGTATATAAAAAAATAAAATGGTAGAAAAGATCGTTGGAGAGCTGGAAACGCGATGAAGCCGTCGTCAGAGTTGAGAAAAGGGTGGGCGCGTTAATATTTAAAGGTCGGGGCGAGGTATTATCAAAGTGTGGATTCGAATGGGAGCAGGGCGAGGAGTGCAAGGACTACGTGGGAGAGGTGCTTGGTGGTTCTGTATATAGATGGCCCGGTGCTTGGAGACTGTGATGGATGGAGTCAGTGGGCGACGCTCGGGGAATCCACGCAAAGAATGTACCTGGGATTGTCATGCTAGGTCAGGCCCATACAAGTACCGCTACGTCGGAGGTATATGTGAGGTAAACGGGACGAGGGGGGGGGGAGTGGGAGGGCCAGGCCAGACCATAGTGTACACAGAAATAGAGGGAGAGAGGAAGAGGGCGAGTCGGTAGCAGAGACAAGTGAGAGTAGGAACAGAGACACAAACAAGGAGCCACTGATGAGCCTGAGTCCTGAGCAAGCCAGCGCCGGCGGGACCCAAAAGCCAGACCAGACTGGCGGGCAGATGAGCAAGCATCATGGCCCCAGAATTTTGATTGCCCCCTTGGCCCTTGCTCTGGCTTGCCGGGCTCCAGAAAGGTTAGAAACCCAGGCCATGGGCCACTGACCAAAAGTGAGTTGAGACAGACAAGGACGGACGGATCGGGCAGAAAGAGACAAGTGATGCGGTACCCGTAGACCGAATAGAAACGCGTGCGCGCAGTGTTCAGGCTCTTGCTCGTTCCCTCTTGGAGCATAATCCCTTCAGACTCAGGCCGGTTCCGAGGGGGTGTGCATAAGGTTTTGGGCTGTCTTTGGGGGGAGTGTGTGCCCGAGTCCTCTTCCCCTTCCCCTACCCTCCTCTCCCGCTCGACGTACGGACACGCATATTGGACACATAGACGCACACTCGAAGTCGCAAACGGTGCCGCTGCACAGCACTGGCTATGTTGTCTGTCTGGCCGCCGGTCACACGTATGGGGTAAACTGGCCCAAAGCCCAAGCAAGGAACCTACATACACAGCAAGGCATGGGTGAGGTACTCTTGGGAGCAGCAGCCCTCTTCGCGATCCGTTCCAACTTCCCACCCTCCCAGGTACGCACGCCAGGCCGGCAACGCGCAGTGCCTACGCAACGACCCCTGCTTCCTCGACTCTTTGTGGCTCCGCTTTCTCATCGGTTGCTTGGTCTGGTCTGGTTTGGTCTGATGGCTAACCTCTTCCCTCCGCGCCGGTGTGCTGCTTTGCAATCTTGCCTCCATGTCGCGAGCCAGTGATGCTCTTAGCGTCATGGGTTGTGGAAAATGGGAAAATGTGAACATGAGAACCCACCAGTATGGACCCGTACTATGCTACTGGTGGCCGGCCGGGCACCACGGGTAGCCGAACAAACCACAACGACGCCAAAGCTGGCCTCGCATGCCAGACGTACGTACATGGCTTGCGTTTTGCCCAAAATTGGCTCTCCAGACTAGCCTACGCCAGGGGTGATCCTTCTTCACGGACGGCAGAGATAGCGAAACAGGCACCGGCTCGTCCCCTAAAACCGTCGTTGCCCTTCTCGAGCTTCTATTCGACGAGGGCGCAAGATTTGAGGAGGAGGGCCAGGCAGAACGGGGAAGGGACGGGGGGGGATGGAGAACCAGCAAGCCAGCAGACAGACAGCTGCTGGACTCTGGACGATGGTGATCCTTGGCCACCACCCAGGCAGGACCTCGACGCTAAACCGAAGCCATGCCGGAAGGAGGAGGGCAGAGAAAAGAGAGTTTTCTCACAGTGAGTAAACTAACCATGTTGGGAGATTTGGTCAGGCATGTTGCGCGCTAGTGTGTCTTCATAGCTTCTCTCTCGACAAGGTGCCTTGCTCTGGCTGCTGCCTCTCTTCTCTGTCGTCTCCTTGCCAGGCCTCTCTTCACCAATTACGAATCGAAAATGGGTCCCCCAGACACATGACTTTCGAGTCACCGGCTGGGATTATGGAAGCAAGAGAACGTGCGCTTTTGCTGCGTGCCATCAAGACCCAGAAGCCGCTGGGACGTCGGCCCAGGGACCCCCCACCCATTTGTGCAAGGGGTCTGGGTGCAAGTCGTTCTAGTGACCGCGGCAGAGCTGAGAAACGAGACGATCAAGGGGTGGAGGAGGAGACCAAGACCATGATAAGGTACTCAGAGACGAAGCCAGATGGAAATGCAACTGAAGGGGGCAACAATGCAGCCTCCCCGATCTTATTCTCGTCAACTGGGCTGAGAACTTGGGACCTTGAAGCTGCAGAGCCGGACAGGGGCAATGACGAGAGCCCATGGTAGAGGCTACGGTACTCTTGTGCATGGCCCTAAAGCGCGGTACATTGTACATTGCAAGTGAACTAACTCCCCGCACTCGCGCCAAGAAGGTGAAGAGTTGGAATATGATAGGGAGGCCGAGGTACACACAGGTGACAAGAGTCACAGAAACTAGAGAGACAGTTCTGGCGCACAAAGAGAAAGCAATGTAGCCCGGGCAAGGGTAGATGCAGAATCAATGCTGGCGCAGCCGCGCGGTGCCGACGCAAGGCTTTGCTTCAAGTACGAACGGTACTGGCAAGACGGTTCGACTTCTGACCACAGACAGTTCAGACAAATCCGGTAGGTGCCGTAGACTATGAGGTTGCTCCCTTTAATGCGCCGCTCGAGTCAAGCAGCGTTTCCCACGTCTAATGAGACTCTGGAGTCCTCCCGAACGAGCATCATGGCTGCAACGTGACAACTCAACGCGTTCCGAGAACGACCTCGCGATTTCAGGGCAAATATCCAAGCCAGTTGCCTTACTTTCACCTTGATGCCATGAGAGAACAGTTCATTCAAACATTTCAGATGCAATACGGACGTCGTTCCTGGCTTGGCTGAAGTCAAAGAAATATTCCGCACAATGTAACAAGAGGCAAGGGAACTCGAAAGTATCGGCCCTGACCACCCAGTCTCTGGGGGTTCAAACTTATGCATGTCTTTGTGCGCCCACCGTTATGGCAGGGCCCAGGGGGAAATCTATACATCCCCATCCATATAATCTCTCGGCAAACCACAAGTCTCGTCGCCCACGTCTCTTTCCAGGGCCAGGTCACATTTTTTTTCCCCCTTCATATCTTGATTGATTTCATTTCTTCAACCAGATCGATGGGCTAGAGTTTGGGACACAGCCCATCGGCCTGCACGTGGCCCTGCCCCTGTCCGGCGGAGATCATTCAAAATCCGTTTGTCAAAGCGAAACGACGGAGAGGCGCATCCCAATGCCATTTCGGGCCATACTACGCATCCCTCCTGTATTACTCGCCCTGCCAGCAGTAAGTAACGGCGTGAGCCTTGTGCCGTCCAAGCTCCAGCTGTCCCTCAAGGTGCCGACGCGAGCGAGAAGTTGGATCTACCGACGCAGAGGCCATCATTTCCGACGAGATTGATAAGGTCACCGCTCCTTTTTGGTGACTGGACTGACGACATCTTCCCAGCAAATTTGTACTCTTTGATTCGATGCCGTATCCCTCTTTTCGTTTCTGTTCTCCCCATCAAGGTTCCCATGAGAGACCTAGAGAGCCAGCAGTTGCAGTTGTACCCTTCTCGCGCGGCCTGGTCCATCCACTTCTTCCTGTTCGTAAGAGAAAACGGGTGCTCTAGCTGGTCAAATGGATCGCTCTCCGCCGTCTACGGGCATGGGATTGCCGCTAGGCGTTCCCAGATGAGTTGACCACCGTCCCATTGTCGGGGACGTTTCAAATTCGCCTTGTCTTTGTGTGCTCTTCTTCGCTCCGCCGCCTCCGCAGGCTGGCGTTCTTCTCGACGGGGCTATCCTTTCACCACGTGGAAAATGTTATTCGACTCAATGGGGTAGCGACCAGTCAACGGTTTCTCCCTTTCACTGTTCATCAGCCGGCACTGCACTTTCCGTCAGTTCCCGGCGGCTTGCCGCCCGGCCCCGTCACCGGCATTATCGCGGATAGCCGGTAGCGCCTCGCGTGTAGCAAGGAGCTGGCCCGTTCGAACCTGTTGAATGTGTGATGGATGTTGCCTTCGCCAGACCGATGAGAACGGTTTGACCCACCACGGTCAGGAACTTGAATGAGAGCAAAAGGGGGGTGACAGGTCGTTCCCGTCACATCCCGCCACTACCTAATCATGGCTTGGCCCTTCAGGTTCATCTCGACGGTCTCGACTCTCGATAGATTCGCGGGAGAGTGATGCTCTTGACTCAACATACCTGTCACCGGTTGATGCCGGCCCTGCTGGAGGTACGGGATATCAATTTGAGGGGGGAGGGGGGGAGCATTGGTGCCCATCTGCCCATGTTCCACCCTGGACCGGATCGACCGTGCGCTACCTGCCAAATGCTGCAATGGAAATCTCCAACGATCAAACCCTTCCCATTCCCCTCGCAAAGCTTGAGCCCTCAACAAGTTAACCTCATTATGCTTTTTGACTTTCCGGCGATCTCGGCGATGCTACAGTGAAGACGCCAGCACGACGTCAGTTTGCTTGCTCAAGGCCTCAGAAAGCCAAAGAGCCTTGCCAGAGCTCGATGCTGGCCCTCCGGGTTGGGGCCCGCGGTTTTCCGCCTTCGTGGTCTTCTCGGGAACGACGATACCGTGTTGTTTCGTTCTTGGATGGAGATGTTCCAAAATTAATAGAGAGTCGCGGCTCGACATACCCACTGCGCTCCTTTTCTCCGACGTTTCTGTAAGCGCCAAATTACCCAGAAGTTTTTATCAGGATCTACAAAGGCAATGCTTCACGTGAGACATAGGTCTCAGTGTGGCCCGGGTGCGTCTCTCGCTTTGACAGGAGTCTGAACTCTGTGCTACATTTGACATGACGATGCCCGCGAATTCATCTCTACACATCAGCGCTTTGATAGTATGACATATCCGTCCCCCGCCCCAAACCTTCTCCTCTATCTTGTAATCGGTACGTGCCGGATTCGATAGAGGAGGTGAGGCGAGAAAAGTTAGCTGCTTCCTCGGCAAGTCGGACGAATTACTTCCAGCATTCCCCCGATGATGAGATCAAGTGTTGATGCCAACGACCGATACGTCTGACCGGTGTACCGCAAACGCCCACAACCCGATGTCGTCTTCGACACTTTAGTGAACAGTACACAAGGAAACGGTTCTTTTCCACCCGTCCGAGCCAACCGGCGAAATTCAAAAGCGCTCCCCAAGACCACCAAGCATTCAACGGCCGAGAGAGATGGCAGGCCCTTGGGCCCCATCCCCGGCCCCTGAACAGTTTAAACTTTCGAGGGGACCAGGTGCGGGCGTCCTGCGAATCCTCTTGACCGCAAAGAGCACTCGATGAATGCCCTACTCCACACCGGTCAAGCTGCCTCCAGGGGTTTGATGCCCGCTAAAGATTGTCACGAGCGTGGCCCCCGTCGGGGAGGCATGTCGTGAGGTTGGCCGCCGACGAGTCAGGCGAGGGGAGGCCCTTGTCCTGAGGATGTTGACATCCCAGGCATCCCAGGCAGAGGTTTCTAGCTTGCTTCTAGCGCGTGGGAGGATGTGTTGAAGAACCAAAGAAACGAAAGCCCGGGTTACCTTGCGGTACTGATGTTGCTAGGAGCAAATCCTGTCCCTAATCAACTATCAACCCGACCAGTGATGCAGGTATCCTGCCGGCACCACACCACACTACTGCATAGTAGATAGGGCGAATGGTCCAGAATGACCGGCGTGTTATCAAGTATCGAACCAAACTTTTTGATGATTTTGAAACATGCTCCCACTGGCACGCAGGGGGGAGGGCAAGCTCACATCAACCCTCATCCGCGCTCTGCGATGGCCTCATCGGTGGCCTCTTCTTTTCTTTCGATAGCTCGGTGCTGAACCAGCGGTCAACTCCGGGTGGGACGCGAAGCTGTCGATCATTCGTCCTCCTCACTCGGCGGTCTAAGGGCGTACGGATTCATTATGCACTATTTGGATGGCTTGCATTTGTCCAGTTCCTCTGGTGCCCTGCCTGAGCGTGGATTTCGCTTGAGGATGGCGCCGTGGATCACGACCGGCGGTTCCGTTCCTCTGGCGCAGAGTTTTTTTTTTTTTTTCTCTTTTTTTCTCTCGCTCGACCGGCGATGGCGTCCGTCACTCGGGTCAGGATTTCAAAAGTGAGCAGGGAATCAGCGCCCTTTCGTCATCTCGTCCTGGTCCCATTTCTTCCTCCCCTTCGTGAAAACTCCACGACAGGGTCAAATCTCGTCTGTCGCCCCGGCAGCTTTATCCAGGGCAGCAAAAAGTCCCAGCAGCCTGGCTCGGCTGGCATATGTGGCTGACGCCAGTACCGTTCTATCCCAGTGCTCCGAACGGCTAGGCCAATCAACGAGAGTCCCGCCTGGCTGTCTCGGGGGGTTCCCAATGGCATGGTTCCGGAATCTGATTCGTAAAGGGGATTGCAGGCTCTATTTCCGATATGGGCTCGTTTTCGCTGGGGGGGTGGAATGGGGAGGGGCTCTCATCAAACACCACAGCCGGGCCCCATTCCTGTCCGGTCGCTGTAACGTAAAATGATTGAGGCGCGACATTGGCTTCATCTTGTTCTTTGCTGAGGGGGAAAAAGGGTCGAGCGATGATGGGGCGTGACTGCAATGGAGATTGACGTGGCCGATCGCGATGTGGATGTGCATCAACACATCAGTCACTCACCCCTTGACCCGCTGGCAGCATCTGCCACGGATGACTGAGGAATGGGGGAGGAGTAGTCCGGACTCCGGAGTTCACGAGCCAGAACCAAGTAAATTGTCCTGTTCAGTTGGTCTCGTTTTGTCACTACGCCGGCTAATCTGCGTCGTCAAAGTCTCTTCCTGGAGCTGGCCCGGATGTTGCGTCCGTCGCGGTTCGGGCCCATCCCGACGTCCTCCGTTCCAACGACCGTGTGCTCGGAGGCAAGTAAGAGGCAAGAATGCGACTATACGAATGTCTACGATTCTACGGCTCGTCGAGTCCAATGTGACGGCAAGACGGCTTTGCGTGTCGACCGAGTTGCCGTCTACTGAGTCATTGCGCAGCAGCCCAGCGCGAGAAAAAAAAAAAAGAAAGCATGGGTGCGAATTGATTAGTTTCCCATCTCTCACTTCCGCGCCGACACGCTGGTTCGCCCGAACGGTTCGTCCCACTGCCCGCTGTTGTCCACATGCGTCTGGTCTGCCTCTGTGGAGAGAGTCGAGAGAGTGTGCGTGTGACTGTAATCACTAATGACACCGCCTGGCGGTTATATTGCCCCAGATGCGCCATTCTGCCGGCAGGAAACATCATTCAACACCCTTGAACAGGCCGCTGAAACGTTGTCCTCGTACCGAGCCTGCGAGAGAGGCGGAGCTCTCCGATAGTGCCTCGTCGTTGGCTCCCTTGATTGGTAAACTTAGTCATGCACAAGTATCCATCGGGATCATCTGAACCGAAGCATCAAGGTTGATTGGTTTTGGCCGGGTTCATTACACCGAGATCGTCGTTTTGATGCTGTCGGTACCTAGGCCATGCAGACTGCAGCTTGTTGAAGAATGACAGGGGCTCACGGGGTGGGTAGGTGGGATAACGAATCCTACCTACCGTGTCTGGCATGGCTTGACCGGTGATGATGCAGCAACGAGACCTTGCTTAACATCTACCGGTAGCATGCCATCACATAGTGTACCACTCTCAGTCCTGTCGAGGGTGGATTCAAGGTCGGCCCCGAAGGACATGTTTCTCCTTTGAGTCTTTCGAAGCATGCAGCCAACCGGCACGGCAGAAGTCTCGGAGATGCTCCGGATTGCTTCGGTCTCATGGTGATTGAAGTACACTATCGCATTGGTGTATTCGCATGGCAGTCGAGCGGTATTCGATGGCTGTTCGCTAGATCTCTCCACCGTACGTATTCCTTGGCTCAAGGATCGACCCACGCTGCCGTTCGTTCGGGTCGCTGCTCCATATAATGCAGATGCAGCAATGATGGGCGGGTATCTTGAGCAAGTATCCGTACACAACACGCGGGCAACATAACTCCGCTTGTTATGGGTTAGGCATGGCTCAAAGTCCCTGAAGATCTTTCAACTCCACAACCCAGGAGATGGGGCTTGGAGGCTTCAAACTGGAGCAATGATGCCCAACGTCTTCGGGCTGAAGAGGGGACTCGATTAGCCAGAGCTGGAGATTGCGAGATTGATAGACCCATCAATAGGGCAAGATTATTGTGGCTGATGACAATGGCAATACGGATACTGGGTCTTGGAATTCGTTTGAGGGCGATGGGTACCTCCCGTTGGGTGGATGTTACGCAGGTCAACAGGTCCCATCGCTTTGACAAGATCGGAGCGAGAGGGCTATGCAGCTCTCTCGGTCAAGTTCCAAAGGGGCTTGTCATGTTCCTCTGACTACTTCTCTTTATGCTGCATCTTATACGTATTTTGTTTGACTGGAGAGAGGTGGAATCATTCGGACGACCAGAGCTTCGTCGGCTGAACAGATGGGTATTGGGCTGACCTGGGTTGCGCTTTCGCTAGGCCAATCATTGAGTTGCCAGGTTAAAGATAATTAGGACCCGTATGACTTCTTTTCAGGTAACCAAAGGTTGAATTGTCGAAATTATTGAAATGGAGTTGGTTTCGCCCGGTCTCGGGAGTGCTGTGCTAACGTGAGTTTGATCTTCTGGAAAGGGGCTCCCGCCACCCTCGCCGAACCGGCGAGCACGCCGACATGAACCAAACGAAATGATAACGTGTCCCAACTGAACATGGAACCTTAAAAGTCAATTTGTCAATACGATTGCGACTGATTGATTGCGATGATTGTAACCCTCTCGGCAAAAGCAATATCGGCACTGTTACAGGATGCTGTCCGGATTCGCGGCAGTCCGGGACTCAACTCTGACCGAGATCCAAGCCAGCCTCGGTCCGACATCAATATCAATATTCCCGCTTCCCGTGCGAGTGTCGGGTAAAGCGCCATAGTTGAGAGAATTGTACTTTATTGATGAAAAGCCAAGAGCATACCATGTTGCATTCTTTAAGTACATGCATCGGCGAGCAACATGCTCCAATTGCATGAAGCTGGTTGGTGTGAACAGCTGCCGTTCATGCAAGTCAAATCATGCAGTCTCTTCCATCACCTCATCCCACTAATACTCGGAGCGTCCGTACATGATACCGCTCAACCACCTCTTTGGTCTCTTCATCACATCCTCACTTTCCCAACTCGGCCTTCACCTCCAGACCGAGGCATACACCCTTCCCCCGATGCCCGATCTGCGAGTTCTTGAGAGAGCCTTTGTCTGACCACATCTAGACAGCTGTCTTGTGACGCCATCCGATATGGGTGTGTCTTCCAATGGCGCTGTGATGACTTTCTTCTTGTCCTCGCTCCTATCCCTCCAGATAACAATGAAATTGCTACCACCCGCCTCCGTACACTCGACTTGATCGCCATGGAGTAACGAGACTTGCTGAAACCCGAAGCGGGGGGCTCATGGTCAGAGCCAAACTTGGTGTATCCTAAACCGCCTGCCCAGGAGCAGCCGCAGCCGTCTGGAGATATGAGAGCGCGCAAGCCACGTCTTAGGATATCCCGCCGAGGCATACACGAAGATGTACCGAACAGAGTGACTTCTTTCAGCTTCTGCACTCCTGGTTGTCGCTTCGTGCGAATTGCAATAGGGCTCACACATGAAAAGCCGCGGGTTCTTTCTTTGGGTAGCCATCGAAGTTCATCTTTCGAAAGAATTACCACGACTAGTGTCTTGAAGTATGTCGGATCGAGATCGAGATGCAACGCTCGGCTCGCGGACATGAAAAGTCGATTGACGTTTCGGTCTGGATGGAACTGATGAAGACGCCCATCATCGCTGCGGTGCGCTTTGAGCTCTTTAAACTCTCTGCAGCAAGAGACTGTAGCCGGTAGACTGAGTGACCTTAAGGGCTTCAACTCGGGAGTGGTTAACCCATTTGATCCTTCCGAGTGAGCCGTTCTCTTGTGATTGGTGCATATCATTTGTTCGTTGTAGTCTACAAGTTTTTCGCTAGGGACCTGACATGGCGGGGCAGTAAGCGTGTAAGTCGACCGCCCGGCATCTGGGGCAGGATATGTGCCAAGCACAGCAGCCACCGTGTTTGCTGAGGTATGCATGAGCAGCAAAGAGAAGGGCCATGGAATCCCCCGAAGTCTCAGCTAGAGAAAGAATTCATACCTCGGAATCAGAGCAATAATAGCAAGCACATCATACCTACTCAAGAAGTAGCTCGTCGAGTTGCGCGCGGATGTAACTGATAGTCAATCATCGTTTTTCAGCGACGAGGACTCAATTTTCTCAATAGGTGTGGAAGTCCTCGCTTCAAGCATCAAATATTATTGGACAAGGAACGGCGACTTGAGCTAACACCTGCTACGGACAACGACTCATGCTGAACGGCGATGCCAAATCATTTGATCGTCCCAGCCCTGTCCGCTCCGAGAAATTACGGGCCTTTGGTTTCGGCCCGGAGCTCGTCATCGCCGGGTTTGTTCGGCCCGCCCGACAATGGTGCTCCCTCTTGAAAGTCTGCCTGTTGATAGACACTATAAAGGATGCCTGACGCGTTCTGTAACTATTTCCTGAAGGCATAAATGTCCAGCGCAGACGTACGCAGATTCTCTGCAACTTACATCCTGCTCTCTTGCTAGGGCAGACGAAGAGCTGATAGGAACTAGTGGCCAATAGCCGACCTCCAAGGAAGGCGAAGCCTGCTCTCCTCAGATCAGGTTAATAAACGAAGTAATGAGGGCTCCGGTGGAAGGCAATTTGCAGTTGTTATTGCAAGTTTAAGTGTGTAAGACCCCGACACTATCATTAGATCTTTTGAGGTGCTTCAATTGGACAACCTCCTGGACATACCTTGTACAGGATTCCATTGAGGAAATTGTGGTAGCACCGTGATTTTTCCTGGAATCCTTCCGAAGCATAAACTTTGACTGCTGCTTGCACCTTGATCACAGAGAAGAGCAGAACCCCATCGTACCCTTACTCCTCCACAAGCTGCAGTACCTCTAGGACCGACAGTCGGGAGACTCGCTTGCCTCTCGCTTCCGGATAAACGAAAAGTCGTTTGATTTCACAGTATCGAGCGTCGGGTCGGCGGTGGAGGAGATAGGCTGACTCGAGACGGATAGGCCGCATCGCGATGCAACCGAGGTCATTTCCGCTTGTCGAGTCTGCGGCAAGGAGCAGGGCGCCGGAGGAAGGCTAATGTTTTCCCGGCAGCCTGCTGAGCTCTATGTCGTAGTTCTAGAAACAGACATCTTCGTTCGAGCCACTCCGTGTACGCCTGAAAGCACTTGCTGGCGACAGAAATATCTGCTGGGTGTGTCGTCTACCGAATGACGACTGATATTGGTAGCTTGTTTTTCTCTAGGCTCTACATTCTTGGTCAACGCGTTCCAGTCTTTTGGTAATGAATAGTAGGCGATATTGACTGCGGATTGATTTTCGTCCTACCATTGAATCTCGATTTCACCTTTTTGTCTGGTAGAAGTCTCTATCTCAACGGTTGGCGTGAACAACCAGACCGAAGGGAGCCTTGGCTTATGCACGGCGTACCGATGTAAGCCGCTGGGAAACCTAGACAAGGGCCGTCATCTTGTTCCTCATCGTACGAAGGCGGAACGCTGCTAAGTCTATGCGAAATGCTTGCTCCTGACAACCACTCCGAGATCGGTCTTGCTAGGTAGAAAGTAATTTAGCAAGCCGTCCGATTGATATGGGCAATACACGACGGTTGTCGTTTGATTCTGGCACTGGATAGATGTGAGCGTTGAGCAGCAGGAACGCCTTCTCGACCCGAAAAAGAAGTAAAATTACAGAGGTATAAGAAATCCAAAAGCAAGCGCTGTGCAGGTGGTCCAAAGTTGCCACGGCCGTTGATTTCAGATGCCGCCGCCTGTCATGAATCCATCCACTCAGTCTCACTGTGGTCACAGTGCCATGATTAAGTACTTACCTCCATGTTGAATTAAATATCAGAGAAGATACTCAGTCTAGGTACCTTGGTTATATGTTTACTGTTGGAAGGCTGATGTGCTTACTTCAAACTCACATCCCGTGGACAGTGTAGGCCAGAACCAGTCACGAAACGGCACCACCTTCTATTTAACGGTCGGTTGGCTTGGCCTGATCGCCAACTCAAGATGCGTCTACCAGAAGTAGACATCACTTAATGGTCTTAATCCTTCGTCCCGATCACTCAGTTGCTTCAGTGTTGACTCGAAGTTATATATGATACTCTGATCGCCTTGTACATTTACCTCGTGGACAACTCGTACCATATCAGAGCTATGAAAGCAGAAGCTAAATGGGTCTGTAAAGAAGAAAATCGTTGACTGCATATCGTATGTTCAGGAGGACCCGGGGGTATGTGTAACAAGTCGCTTTGCTCTTGCGCCGAGCTCTGAAAGTGAAACAACGTTTTTACCATATTATTGTCGTCGGCTTTAGCTGGTTTGGACCTCGAATACCCAGATGGGTGAATCCAGTGGTGCCAATACGTATGGGATTCCCTTCGGGCCCAGCTACCTTCTAGTACTGATGCCGATGCTGAATTATTTGAATGAAATGGATAGAGGAAGCGAACAGACCGTAGAATCAAGAGGCGTCTTTCGTGTTACGACAGTCGATGCCGGTGCCGATGATGGCGATGATGGTATCCGTGTTGACCGGAGCATCCGCTGACCTCCGAAACGCCGACGGACTTTTCATTTCACTTGCGATGCCGCTTCCCGAATGAAACACAACCGCGCTCCGCACGGCTTACGCACCCCAGTTACTTTACCTAGGAACTAAGTAGTATTCTGCCGCCGGCACTACCATTCAGCCCTACATGAAAGCTTGTCGTACGGGAAGAAAGCTTGAGGCCGTTTTGCCGCGGCGACGCAAGATGAACCCGTAACGAGCCTTTAGTCGATTCTGGTCGTCAGTCTAAGGTATGGTGAGCGGCCGCGCGCGCATTCTACCTCCTCATGCCGAGCGCGTGGCGCACCGAGGCGAGCCATGGATGGTTTGGCTTACTACGCAAAAGAATGCATGCTCAGCGTCTCGCAGTGGCGCCGCCGTCATCCATGTAAGTGTGTACTCATGTATGTCGAGGTAACTTGCCGGTTCTGGAATGTTGAACTGGGCCGTGGGGTCACCGTGTTTGTCTGGATTTCTTTTGTTCACTCGTTGAACAATATATAAAAAGGACCTGGCCCCCAGATATCATCCCAACTTTTCCAAGACCCAGGATCCATAGCTAAACGCCACATCACGTCAACTTCATCGTCTTTACCCAACAGTCACAGCCTTCACGATGCACGCAGCCCTCGTCAACTCCTGGGGTTCCCCCCCAACCTACACAACCGTCCCGGACCTCCCGCCCCCATCCCCCACACAAATCCGCCTCCGCGTCCTCGCAACAGGCGTCCACCGCCTCGTCCTGTCCCGCGCCGCCGGAAAACACTACACGGCGTCCACCCTCCCCCACCTCCCCGGCGCCGACGGCGTCGGCGAGGACCCGACCACCGGCCAGCGCTACTTCTTCGCTGCCCTCGCCACGGGCACGTTTGCGGAATTCCTCAACGTCGAACGCACCGCCGTCGCGCCGCTGCCAAAGGGCGCTGACCCAGCTACCGTCGCCGCCTTTATGAACCCGGTCATGAGCAGCTGGATGGCGCTGTCCGCGCGCGCGGCGCCGCAGGCCAAGGGCTTCTCCGTCGCGATCCTGGGGGTGACGAGCGCCAGCGGGCGGGTGGCCGTCGACGTTGCTCGTGCCAGGGGCGCGGGCCGGATTGTCGGCATCGCGAGGAATGCGGCCGCCCTGGAGGAGATTCCCGTCGACGAGCGCATCGTCCTCGCGGGCGGGGAGACGGACTGGTCGAGGCTGGGCGCGGTGGACGTCGTTTTGGATTACGTCTACGGGAGCCCGGTCGTGGACTTGTTGACGGCCTTGCCCAAGTCGGAGAGGGAGGTGCAGTACGTCCACATTGGCTCCGTGTCGGGCGACGGGGATATTAGTCTGCCGGGGGCCATCCTGCGGGGGAAGAGGGTCGCCATCCGCGGTGCTGGGCCGGGAAGCTGGACCATGAGGGAGTATGCCGAGGAGCTTGGCGGGATGGTTGGTGTGACTGCTGGGCTGAAGGGCAAAGATGTCAACCTGATTAGGATGAAGGATGTAGAGAAGGGATGGAGCGAGGCGGGATTAGGGAAGACGCGCGTGGTTTTCGTGAGCGATGACCTTGTGAAGTCATCTTGAAAGACTACGAGCAGCTAGATGGAACCCGGGATGTCTAACTAAGATTGCTGGTTTTACTCCATGTCAATGCTATATAACCTGTATTCACTACATGTATACATCACAATTTTGAGTGGATTTCATTCCATTTATTACAGCATAGGCTAATGAAGTACAAAACCTCTGCTGTTTAAACTATCCAGCAAAATGAAGACATGCTCAACTATGCTATGATTCTGGTCAACGACGAGTGTAAAATTCTGTCACACCAGAAGTACTCACAAGTAAACCACGGCGCACCAACAGCCGCCGCAACAGCCTGGGCCACAAGCTTCTGAATCTGCACCCCCGGGTGGTAGTCATTGAACCACAAGCAGCTGACGCCATCGGCATTGTAGCACGTCGCGTCGGGCGCGCCGTAGGCGGTAGGGTTGTTGATGGCCTTGTCAAACGCAGGGGTGGTATCGACGAGCCAGGACGTGATGCCCGCGTTCTTCGCCTTGAAGGCGGCAAGATGACTGGCAATCAGACCGTTATACTGCTCAATGGCCGCGACGAGCAGGGCGTTGGAGGCGGCGCCGTTGGCGAGCATGAGAGGGGTCTTTTGGGTTGCTGTGCGAACGAGATTGTCAGCTTGATCTACAGTGTCGTTGAACGGCGGCTCATATGGCTAGTTGTCTTTTGAGTCGTCGCCCATCATGATCGTCGACGTGACGAGGCCGCCATCAGTAGAGAAAGGAGATTGGTGGGTAGAACTCACGCGGAACACCAAGCACAAGAAACTTCCTCACGCCGGCATCGTACAGGATCTGCAACTGCTCAAAGTACCGCTCCAGGACCTGCACAAGCAACGCCTCGCGGTTCGAAAGCTGGAATGCGTTCCCGACGTCGTTGACGCCTATCCACACGCCCACAAGGGTATTCTCCGCCGTCCACGGTGCCCAAGTCGGCTTGGCGGCCAGGCTGCGTTTGAACTCGGCGACCTGGTCGATGAAGCTGAGCACGGTGCTCGCGTAGGGGGCGATGAGGCTCGCGTCCGTGGTAGCGCCGCCGTAGGCTAGGTTGTATGAGTAGGTCAGGGATGCGTTGAACTGCGTCACCATGAAGCCGACCCAGTCGAGACCGCCCGAGGCGGTATTGCCGGGCAGGGCTGGGTTGCCGAGGGGATTCTGGGGGTTGGGCTTTGTGGAGTTGATGTTGAAGCCTGTTTGGGAGTACGAATCTCCGCTGTAGGATTTGTGTTGATGAGTGTTCTTGTTTTCAGGATTGGCGAGGATATTGCGTGTGACTTACAACGTGATCAAGTACTTCAGTCCGGAAGGGGACGGGCTCGATGTGGGAGTCGGGGCCGGGACGCTGGTGGCTTTGGTGGACGAAACCGCCGGCGCCGTTCCGGGGACGCATTGGTCTACTAGAAGTCAACTCTGGATGTCTAGATACCGACCCCCTTCACCGGTATGAGGTACTCACAGTACCAAGCATCCTGGTAAGCGCAATAAGCTCCCGAGGCACAGCTGGTCGAGCCTGTCCACCCGGTACCGCCGCACTGTCCCCAGACGGGAGCTTGCGCATTGGCGGAAAGGGCCAGGCCGGCGGCGACGAGGAGGGATGCCGTGATGCGAGCCATTGTGTACGTGGTCATGGATCTCGAGTCTCAGAAGAAGAAGATCAAGCTTATCACGCAAAGGCCCAAGGATGAGCGACATGGCAGATCGCCCTTATATAGACCCGTGAACTTGCCCCCTCCTCCCCTCCCGCCTTGGCCCGTCAGCTCATCCGGTGGGAACCTCCATCCACGAACCCAGTCCCAACCGGGAACTTGGTCGAGCGGTGCTTCCGAATCTCTCGGTTGTCCGGCCCCCAGACAGCTCTCGACAGACTCAACCAAACTTGAGGGGGCCTCTTAGATCATTGGCGGGAAAGGATCGACGGTCATTGGGGGACCCCCCCTCGTCCCCGTCCGTGCGGAGATTCGTGCCTGGGAAGAAACGGCAAGTTCACAGGACCCAGGTCAGCGGTTCGTTTTGGTAAACATCGTCACCATACGAGCAGATAGTAGAGACAAAGGAGGGGGAGGGGAAAAGGGAGGAAAAGCTTGAGAAGCAACTGACAAGAAGAAAGTGGATCATGGTGGGCCGGGTAGCAGCGTGGTGCGATGCGGGGACGCGGAGGGAGGGCATCCCCAACCCCAAAGAGGCAACGGGTGGGATCCACATTGGATGCCACGCCCGGATGAGCGGAATTTCTGGGGTTCGGCCGGTCGTATCTAGCCCGAATAGTTCTATTGAAATCATTGGGCTTGACGGCTTCAGCTTCCAGAGGGCGGCTGTTTTGAATCATGATTCACCTCGGGGCGCAATTCCGGGTCTGCTTAAGTACTACTCAACATGATCCTGGTCATCAATCTCCCTATATGAAGAACGCTCGAGGTCTTCCATGGGAGACTTCAGGATGTTGCGGAAAATAAAACACAACATGGCCGTTAGGATGTGGGAAGAGAGGAGTATATGGAGACCAAATATTTTAAGTAACTCTAGAGAACAGCTATAGATATTCGTAGCGACTGTGGTATATGCAAAAGACAAAAGACCAACCAAAAACCAGAGCAAACGACTTTATGTGCAAGTCACCGACCGAAACCCAGGACCCATCCAAATTTTGCCATCCAAATCCAAAAAGCCCTGCATCCAACCCACCATACCAGATCATGCAAACCAACGCCAGACAACTCAAATTGAACAGGACTTTTCCCCCAACCCCACTGTCCCCGAAACCCAAGACCTTAGCCATGAAAAAAATAGCCGTTGACAGCAGAATCAGATAGTAAATAAGCAGATTATCAGACACACTGAGGATCCCGTAAGAAGTGTTCACAGCCCTTCTTCGTTCCTCTTCCCCCCGGGTCTGGCCCGTATGTTATAGTGCTGGCATTTTATGCCTTGTTCTTCTCATTTATGTAGCCATCAGCAATCTCGAGGCACACTAGTTTCCAAAAGTCAGTCAAAGTCCAAGAGGGAATAATCAAAGGGGGGGGGGGGTCAAGTAGCAGGTAAAACTCACACTTTGCAACGCTCGCGCTGCCCAGAATCTTCATCACCGAAACATCCCTCTCAATCACCTTCCAAAACCATCCTCTCACCTCCACAGCAACAAGCGAGTCCATGCCGAGCTCGCCAACGCTGTGCTCACCCTTGACGCTCCCCTCGCCTTGTCCCAGTACAACCTCGAGGTACCTCGCAAAGCCCTCAGTAAGCACCAGCGCAACCTCCTCAACACCGCCCTCGACGGCCTTGATCTTCTCCCTCAGGCTCTGCTTGCCTTCACCCTCGCCCTCCGCACCCTCGTCGTCGTCCTCGAAGGTGAAGTGCGAGAAACGAGGGTCAAGCTGCCAGTGAAGCTTGTCCTCGCGGTTAGCGTTATAGCGGCTCAAACCGGTGGTGATGTCGTAGATCTGGCCATCAAGGGGGCGACCGGCAACGATGGCCTCGAGGAACATGTGGTGGATGTCGCGCTCCGAGATGGGCGGGTAGCCGTCCTTCTCGAGGAAGGCGTAAATATCGGTGCGCTCGCGGTGAAGAAGACCGAGACCGTAGATGACGCCGATGTTGAGGACTGAGCCTGCGAGGCCGCGGATGCGACGGTTCGCGGCGAGACCATTCATATACTAGACAGATTGTTAGCCGGGCAATAAGCAGGGTCCGAGAGTGAACAATTACCATATTGGCTGCGGCGTAGTTGGACTGTCCGCCGTGACCACCGGGCGCCGCAAAGGACGAAGTCATGATGAAGAATTCCATATCAGCCTCGCAAAAGATCTCGTCAAGGTTGCTCGAGCCAACAGTCTTGGGACGCATGACCCTGTCCCAGGTCTCAACATCCATCTGGGCAAAGACGCGGTCATCAAGTACCATGGCGCCGTTAATGACACCAGCAACAGGCGGCATCTCCTGCGCAAGCCTCAGCTTGAAAGCCCGCACGCTCTCGATGCTAGTAACATCAAGCCTCTCGATGCGCACCTCACAGCCCTTGGCGCTCAGGTCCTCGATCCACTGGGGCTGCATGTTGGGGTTGCGACTGGCAAGGACAATGTGGCGCGCGCCGTGCTCGAAGAAGAGGTTGCACAAACTCTGGCCCATGTCGCGCGTCAGGCCGACGAGGACGTAGGTCTTGTACGGGCGGAGGAGCTGCGTGCCAAAGAGAGGCTTGGCGATGTGCTGTACCTCGCGCTCAGCGCGCCAGTCGAGGATCTGGAAGGGCTTGCTGCTGCCGGTCTGGTCGAGAAGCTGGGGAACTGAAATGGAATCCAGGCTCTGGAAGCCAACCTGGCTCTTCATGCTTCTGACGTTGGTGATTGCCTTTCCGATAGCCGTCTCCCATAGGTCCTCAATGTCCATGGAGTCACCAAGAGCGACGACGTGCTCGGAAGTCAAGAGAGAAAAGCGAGAATGGTACTCGCAGTTCTCGGGAAGGCAATCGAGGATGGTCTCGGAAAGCTCGCTGCCCTCAGGGAGGAAGTCGATGACGGAAGCACCATCGGCAGGGAAGAGGGCCTTGAGCTCGCGGTTGCTAGCGTAAGGATGAATGTAGCGTTGGCTGAAAGCCTTGCGCTTCGATCCGCTGGTGGTGCAAGCGATGACATTCGCGCCCTTTGCCTCAAAGACCTCCTTCATACACTCCAGAAGAGCGGCATCGGGCTCCAGGAGAAGCACAGTCTTCTCCATCATGTCTTCGGCGACAGACAAGGCCACAAGGTACCTCAGGACAAGACCCAGCAGGACCTTGGGCTCGATGTTGCTGCTACTGAGCTGGAAGACGCAGGAGTTGGGGACAGTGACGTAGGAGGAGTTGGACTTGGTCATGGCAAGACACAGCTCGCCAGAGGTGACCTCCTTGCCGATGCAGACATGGGAAGCGTACTTCAGGCCAAAGTTAATGACCTCCACTGAGCTGTACTTGACCTGGATGACGCTCTGATCGGGAATCGCTACGGCGTCGTCGATGTCGGTCTCCTCGACAATGTTGGCGGTGTAGACCGCGGAACCGTCTCCAGACTGAGCAGAGACAACCTCGACACACTGCTTGAGAGTATTGACCTCGTCAGCAACCAGTCGGCGAGGACAGTTGACACGGTCGTTGCCCTCCTTCCAGGGAAGAAGACGGGGGATAAGCCTCTTGCCATGCTCCATGAAGATCTCATTCTCGGGAGTCCACAACAGCTTCCCATCCTGAGCAGCGTTGCGCAAAGCCTTCATGCTAAGACGAAGGAAGGTCTCAGCGACAAGGTCGCTTGAGTCGCGGCGGGAATCTAGGTCGAGCAACTGGAGCTTCAGACTGGGGATCTCGGCCAGCATGGATCGGCAGAAGCCAAACGTGGCCGCGTGCTCCGGGTTGCCAGCACGCGAGTTCATCGTGACCCAGAGGACAACCTTCTCAGGTGCCATCAGAGCACGGAAAAGATCGAGACGCTCGGGCGTCATGGTGCTCATCATGGGCTCATCTAGATCCGCAAGGAAGATGACGGAGCCGATCTCGTTGAAGACAGCGGGCTGGAGAGAGTCCAGATCGGCAATGATGTCGATGCTGTGGCACAACGGCCCCAGCTTCTGGTGAACCTCGGCGGACAGATCGGCCGTGTTCTCCGCGGCACCGATGATGAGGGTGTGACCCATTACCTTGGGAACAGAGCTGGTGAGGGGGCTGAGCGCCGCCTGCTTGATGTCCGACTCAGCCTGCCTGACGATGAGTGAGAAGTCGGGAGCGAAGAACTGCTCAGCGTTCTTGGAGACGCGCGCGAAGCCACACTCGTCGAGCAGGTCGGGCCACTCGGGAGGGGTAAGTGGCAATTCAGCCTGCCGCTTCACGCCAAAGGCACGACGAAGTCTGTCACGAAGGGGACTCATAGACTCGTGAATGAGGATGAGGAAACCACCAGGCTTCATGAGGCTCTGAACCTGCTTAAGCTTGGCGCGCTGCTCAGCGCCCTTGACAATCGAAGTCGTCAGGACAACCAGATCAAATGGCTGAAGAGACGAGTTATCCTCGTTGTCAAGGATCTTGGTGTGCTCGGTGTCGATCTTCTTCTTGATCGCATCAGACGAGACTCTCGCCAACAGATTCGGTTCGGTCTCGGTGCCGATGGTGTAAGACACGAACGACCCCTTGAAGCCGTCAATGACGTGCTCGGTGAGCGCCGTCTCGGGGTCGGTCAAACCGAGCACCCGCATGCGAGGGTATCGGTGAGCGATCTGGGAGACGACGCGGCTGACGTGGGAGCGGAAGCGATGGAGCTGCTTTGCCTCCTGGATGATGGTCGAGAGCATCGCGGGGAGGACATCAGGGATGTTCTCCCCAAGCAATCGGATGAAGCTCAGGGCGTGCTGAAAAGGAGACTGCAGGATGTAGGCATCTAAGGACTCGGCTGTGTCTTGTTGCCAGGGGCTGGGAGTTGCTTCTGACGGCGCGGTCTTGGGAGGCGACATGGGCGTGGCTGGCGGAGTGAAGATTACGGGCGAAGATGAGAGGTCCTTGAGCGAGTCATCGTGGATGTAGAAGCGCGCGACTCTCTCGCAGGCCTCGAGCAAGATACGCTCGGTGGCGACATCCTCTTGGCTCAAGTCTGCGGCAATGATCTCGTGCTCAGGGTCCAGATCGCACACAGTGGTCAGGTAAAGCTCTTTGTCGTCCTCGGGCTTCGAGTTGGCAAAGGAGGCGACCATTAGGCCTTCGACCTGGATCTCCATCTCTCCATCGGGGTTGTAGATGCTCATGTCGCCCACAAACTTGGTTGTCGCAGTCTTTGTGCGAGGAATCTCCTGCGTAATGACCGAGTCGACAACCAAGGATGCGTTGTCGGCAGGCTTGCCGTCGCAGAGCGCGAGGTTGAAGCGAATCTTCTCGATGCTCCTAGGAAGGAAGGAAGTCCACAGAGACTTGTCGCCGGGCGATGCCACAGCGGCGAACACGGAGTGGAAGCAACTGTCCAGGGTGGCGGGGCTGACTCCGAGTCCGGTGGTGTCAGTCTCGTGGAACTTCTGGAGAGTAGCCGAGCAGAAGTTGTATCTGCGATCGATGCCCTGCAGAGCGCGGAATGGACCTGTGTAGTCCAATCCAATCTCTGACATCATCTGGTAGAAGGAGTCGGTGTCGGCGGGGAGCGTCTCGGCCATGGAGGGATCGCGCGCTGGAAGGGCATCCTCAGAAGGCTCGCCAAGGTAGATACGCAGATTGCCAGTGAAGTTCTTCTGCATGGGAGTGACACCGTCGGCGTAGCATGATGTGATGGTGAAGACACCTTCGATGATCTTGCCAGCTAAGCGTCCCTTGGTGGAAGGAGGCTGGATGCTCAACGCGACCAAGATCTCGACACCGTAGGTGTTCGCTTCGAGAGAGATACCGCTCATGAACTCAAGGTCGGTGAGCTCAACAACCGAAGCTTCACGGCCGTTCAGAACGGCCTTGGCAGCATCCAGAGCGAGCACGCAGTAGGCGGAGGCAGGAAGCAAAGCCTGACCTTGGAACTTGTGGTGCTGAATCCAGGGAACAGTCTCGAGCTTGAGGATGTTGCGCCATCTCAGCTCGAATTCTGTATCGTCGCGAGTGCGGACACCTAGAAGCTCGTGAGGACCCTTCTCACGGAAATGGTATTGGTGAGCGATGCGAGACTCGCGGTAATGCATCTGGCTGTGGTCCCATGGGTAGGATGGAAGGTCGATCCTCGAAGACGAGAGGCCAGGCTGAGAAGACTGTGCAACAAGGAGCTTCCAGTCGATGGCATCAGTACCAAAGTAGTTCCAAGTGAAGCCCAGAAACTCGGCAAAGGCGTGCCTGTCGTCCTTTTTGCGATCAAGCAAACCGGCATACGAGAGAGCTCCGCCGGTGGCAGCTTTGACGGTCTGCTGGGCGGGGCCCTTCAATGCGGGGTGAGGGCCAACCTCAACGGCACTGGCGAAAGGCCCTTGGGAGCTGAGAGCAAGGTCGATTGCCTCATAGAAAGAGACAGCCTTGACCATGTTGTCCTTCCAGTAAGAGCCCTTGAGCTCTTCGATGCTCGGCTCGGTGCCGTCAGCATAAACACTGGAAATCCAGACGGTTGAGTTGCGCTGTCTCGGCTCGATACCGCAGCCAGCCAAGTCCTCCATGTACTTGGCAGCAGGCCTCTCCATGTGGGCAGAGTGGTAAGCGGTGTCGACAACCAGAAGACGAGCAAACTTCTTCTCCTCGGTCAACTCAACCTGGAGAGCCTTGACCGCATCCATATCTCCAGAGAGCGTGACACTGGTCGGCGCATTGCTTGCAGCAACCCAGATGCGGCCGTTGATGTCGTCCCGATTGCAAAGATCTGACGCCTCTGCGCGGGTCATACCGACAGCCATCATCATGCCCCTCTCGCCGTTTTTGCCGCCAGCGAGGTGAGCAGACATACCCCTGTAGTAAGAGATAAGCATCGCATCGCGGGCGCTAAGCACGCCGGCAGCATAGGCGGCTCCGATCTCACCGGATGAGTGACCGACGACGGTGTGGAAGGAAACATTGATGCTATTGAGGAGGTCAATGAGGGCGATCTGCACCGCAGTGCAAAGAGGCTGGGAGAGGGCGGCAATGTTGATGCGTGTAGGGTCCTCCTGATGGATGAGTTCCTCAACGAGTGACCACGTGGGGGGGTGGGGGCAGGTTTTGAGAACCTTCTCGAGGTCTTCAATGGTGTTTTGATAGACGCTGCTCGAGTGAAAGAGCTTGCGGCCCATACCAGACCATTGCGCGCCCTGGCCGGTGAAGATTCCGAGAATCTTGACCTCGCCGCCGTCGAGCTTAGCGCGAACACCAAGCTCAGGGTTGGAAGAAGACCCGGCCTTGGAAAGGAGGTTATCGAGGGCGGCAATGACTCCATCGCGGGAGTCTGCGCTGATGGAGGTGCGGTAAGTCAGGGCTGAACGGTGGGCGTTGAGGTTGTAAGCGACCTCGTCAGCCGACTTGTCGGTAGACGCCATGAAGTCGCGCAGGGCCTGGACCACGGCAACAAGAGACTTTTGCGACTTGGCAGAGATGACTAGGGGAAGTCCAACGGCGGGCGCTTCGGCGTCGTAGGACGTGGTCGACGGCGAGGAGACTCGCGCCTCCAATGCCGGAGCGAAGTGCTTCGCGACTTCGTCGTGGATGCTCGGCTCGTACCTCTCGATGATGGCATGGGAGTTGGTGCCGCCGAAGCCGAAGGAGTTAACACTTCCTCGGAGGGGCTGGCCAATCGGGGCTTGAGGCCAAGGGACAATGTCGACAGGGATACGAAGGTGGCCGTAAAACGGCTTCACGCTAGGGTTGAGGGTGTTGAGATGCAGGTTGGGTGGAATGGAGTTGTTGATCATGGAGTGGACCACCTTCAGCAGACCGGCTAGACCCGCGGCGCCTTCCGTGTGACCAATGACCGTCTTGATGGATCCGACTACAAGCTTCTTATCTTCACTTTCGGCAGTGGACTTGGCCTCGTTGCCAAAGAATGCAGTTGAAATGGCCTGGGCCTCCCTTGGGTCTCCGGCTTGGGTGCCCGTTCCGTGGGCCTCGAAGTACTGAGGTCTGTCGACGGGGTTCTGAGAATCCAGACCGGATCTACGGTATGTGTCCCGAATTAACTCGGCTTGGGCGGGGGGGCTGGGCATGGTGATACCCTGCGTGCGTCCGTCCGAGTTGACGCCGGTCTCTCTGACGATGCTAATGATGGAGTCGCCATCCCTCAAAGCCTGTGAGAGCGGCTTAATGAAGAGGGCCGCAAAGCCTTCACCGCGGGCATATCCGTCTGCACTGATATCCCACATCTTTGATGTACCCGTAGGGCTGAGCATGTGCAGACTGGCTTCGCTGATGAATTGCTCGGGGGTGATCATCAAGTTGGCACCGGCCACACAGGCCATCTCACACTCGCCGGATCGGAGACTCAGCACGGCCTGGTGCAGGGCCACGAGACTTGATGAGCATGCTGTGTCGATGGTCATTGAAGGACCGCGGAAGTTGAAGAAGTATGATATCCTGTTGGAGAGAATAGCTCGGGAGTTTCCAGTGGCGAAGTACTGGTTCGAGGTGATATCGTCCCTTTGGCATAATGAGTCGTAGTCAGCGGTCATAAGCCCGGCGTATACGGCTACCTTCTTGCCAGCGTATTTCTCGAGATTGTATCCGGCCGATTCTAAAGCTTCGTAGACGACCTCGAGGATAATGCGTTGTTGAGGGTCGATGGCCTCAGCCTCCTTGGGTGTGATGTTGAAGAACCCGGCATCCCATACACGGTGATCTTGCTCGAGGAAGTAGCCCTGTGTTGCATTGGTGGCTCCATGGTACTCGCCGTCTGGGTGGTAGAACCCCTGTGCGTTGAAACGGTTGTTTGGGACCTCTTGTGATAGATACCGAGGGTGAGTGAGTAATTCCCAGAGTTTTGATGGTGATGTAACGTCGCCAGCGAATCGACAGCCTGTGCCAACAATGGCAATAGGCTCTGACTGGGGTCTCTTGTAGGTAGACATTGCTGTCAAGGGTATTTCTAGGAAAATTAGGTATTATGGGGGGGGGGGAGAAAGAGAAGAGTATAAAGCTCCGTGTAAGTCAACACGTGGGCAGAAATGTCCGATGTGTGAGGGTGGAGGTAAGAGGTATAACAATGGAGAAGAATGGGAAGGGCTGTGATAATCAGAGAGAAAGTCATCACATTGTACGGTGCGATGTGAAGGGATATATAGACAATCACTTGCATGGCAGCAAGAATATCAAACCTCGCGATGCTCCCTCCCTGGCGGACAGTGTCGATACCATGACGCCTGTGCCCCATGTCAAAAAAGTAAGGGGGCAAACCGCCTTACTCTGACTAGACCCAAGATCCAAGATCCCCCACGGCCCGGGGGTGTGCGGAGGATGAACGCCGGGGGGGGGCGGCTTCGCCCTGGGTTGTGGGAATTAAGGACGCGGGAATCAAGGGGCTCGACAGCGTCATCAACGCCGTCGTCGTTACAGCCGCCTGGTCTGCCGGTAACTCGTTCCTCTACCTGGCAAGCCGAT